TTGACAATGCTGAAAGCCAAACACTCACCCGGGGGTCCATTTTTCCTTTTGCCAACAATATTTTTTATTTTGTTTGGAACAATAGTCTGTCAGGGCTCAAAATTTCCACTCGCCCCCTCGCAATTTGCGAGTGGAAATTAAGCCATTGAGTCAGGCACTCAACTCCTGGGGGGACGGGACGCAGGAGGGAGCGCTGCCTGCTGTCAGGATAGCTGAGCGGTGGGGGGGAGAGAAGCCGCGCCCCCAGCTGTCAGGATAGCCGAGCGAGGAGGAGATCGGAGCCGCTGTCATCCTGTCAGTTTCAGGATGACAGCGGCTCTGTGCGTGGCAGAATGGGGGATCGGTAAATATCATTGATATTTACCGATCCTCCGTGTGAGAAGGACAAACACTGGAGCAATCGTCTGATCACTCCAGTGTTTGTAAATAACTGGGGACACATAGTACTATGTGTCCCCAGTTATGAAGGAACAGGCTGTGATTTACATCACAGCCTGTTCATTCAAGATTTCCTCAATGGGGAGAAGCACTCAGTACAGAGGCTCCTCCCCATTCATAAACTATTGATAGTAAATATTTTACTATCAGTGTCTGAATGAATGGGAGGAGCCTCTGTACTGAGAGCTTCCCATTCACTGACTGCTAGGCTGCTGAAAAAGAAATTGAGGATTTGGTGTCCTCAATTTCTTTTCTATTTTCAAAAAGGGAAATGTCAGGGGTCTGTTTGGACCCCTAATATTTCCCTCAAGCCCCCCCAACAGTAAAAATAAATAAAATTAAAAAAATAATAAAAAATTATTTTAAACAAAGTGAAAACTGCCCACCCCCCACACACACTCACACTCACACACACACACACATTATTAGACATGTGCGAAGACTAAACATTTATTTCAGATGAAATGTGTATGTGTAATGCTCTGTGCATTGTGCTATGGCTGTATGTGTAATGCCCTGTGCGTTGTGCTGTGGCTGTATGTGTGTTGTGCTGTTTGTAGTCCTGTCCTAGGGTGACAACACTGCTTCTCCATAGATACAATACAGACACAGAGAGCGTTGTCACCTTAGGACAGGAAGTCTCTTACTGGCAGGATCGCCAGGTGAAAATAAAGGAAAAATACAACCGTAAAAAAGAAAACTGATCCAAGGACTGGTAAGCTGCAATATAATACACTTCAAAATGCATGTCATATTTTACACCCAAAAAAGATCTGCATTGGTCAAATGAACTTGCTGTATTTTTATTAAGGACGTTTCTCTGGTCATCGGACCAGCTTTCTCAATTGAGAATTGAGAAAGCTGGTCCGATGACCAGGGAAACGTCTTCCAGAAAAATACAGCAAGTCCAATTGCCTTGACTTATTTTTTACAGATATACCATGACCTGGATGAATGAGAACCTTCACAGACAATATTCTAAGTTAAACATTTGTTAATTTTTTAATTGTTTTGAAAAATATCTTCCTTAGTCCATCTCTGCTAAGGTCAAACATAGATGGAGACAGGAACTGCAAGGCTGAACAATAAAATGCTTACAAGCGATTACATTCATTATCTTGTGGGTGTTCAGGGTAGACCACTGCTGGGAACTGGCACTACATGCACTTGAGATAGTAGCCTGCCCTACTGCACATGTTATGTCTGAGAGAGCCTGTAGAAAAATTATGGGAATTCATGAATAACAAGCTGCATTTTAATAACATAGGATGAAGAAGTGTGGTATTTTGTGTGAAGTTTAAAAAAAACAACTTTGTGGGTGCTTTTCAAAGGATGCATTAAGGTGCTGTGACAATAAAGGGAGCTCCAGAACATGATGTAAGCAACAAATGACTAATGTGGTAAAATTAACACAAAGCTAAAAGTTATATTTGAAATTATAACTACAATTTAAAGATTACAGATAATTATAGATAATCAAAAGCATTGTACAGACATGCCACACAGTATGTAAGCACTTGTGCAAGGCTGCAATTTCAAAGGGATAAGCAGACAGGTTTGTAATTATAATATCACAATTATGGTGTATTTCATTTTGACATATTTCACAGATTTGATGCACACTTTGCAAGCAGCTTTGCTAGGCCTTAGGTTGGCCATACACTGCTCTATTTTCCTCGTTCAACCCGTGGACTGAATGGGAAAAATAGAGCCGATTTCTCCATCAACACTACCAGCATGTCAATTGAGGAAAACCCTGCTATTTGCACTGTATTTCTACAGCGGCCGGTGGCCACTGTCAGAATACGCGATCAGAGCAGACGGCTCATTGGCTGCCGGCTCTGTTCATTAGAATATTTTCCAGCCAGCCAACCGAAAGGGTGCCAACAGCGGCACAAACTGTGCAAACAAAAAAAAAACAGTTTGAAATTTGAACAGTGTATGGGCACCTTAAGGTTTAAGAGGAAATTGTCAGGCAGTTTTTAATCAAGAAATCAAAATTAGATTTTGATTGCAGGTTCCATCCCTTAGTTTATTAGTTTTGTATCTAAACAAAATGCAGGTCCCATCCCTTAGTTTTAGTTTTGTATCTAAATACACATAGAAGCTAAAAAATAATAATATAGAAGTTCACGTAGAAGTATTTAATAATAGAGTTTATAATAAAGTATCTGTTGTTGATCACGTTCCCTAGATTTTTATATTTTAAATACTATGATTCAAAATTTTTTAGAAATATGGGTATTGTCATCTGATCTATTTACTTATTTGTATATACTGTATGTTTGAGATAGACCCACCAATGTAAAGGTTATTAATTTCAGATACCCCTTTTTATTTTTTTTACATTAGGCATGTCAGAGAAGGCTTTTTATAAGCAATTGAGTTTGATATATGGCTTTTAGCTGTAATATCTATATTATGCACCCCTTTTCTTGATTGTGATGCCAAGATTTAGCCATATGGTTTTTTGATTGATTTGCTGGTTTGTTTTGTATTCATGTGCACATTTTTCTTATGTTGGGATTTGGAGGTTATTCTTCTTTATTACTTTTATGTTTAACTTTTTTCTTTTATTTAACCGTACGCATTGATTTATGTTTTGATAAATTTTAGGACATCTTTATGAATTCAGGTATACAAAGTTGGATTCTATGCAGCACAACACAGACATACAGCTCCACAATACTTTGTACAACCAAAAACAAGTATTGGCACCACTGTAACATTCTAAAAAGATCCATCTTTTAATGAAAATTTCAAGGCTATAAAAAAATACATTGGCTTGGATATAAAAAAAAGTGGGTATTGCACAAATGAGATTGAAATTAATTTTAATGGATTGTAAAAAAAAATCCACATAAGGCACAGCAAATCAGTTTCTATATATTAAAAATCCAGCCAGTATGATGAATTTAAATTCTCACAAAATAGGCATATAGATACTATATTTAGCTGAATGAAGTGCTGTATGCATCCAGGAATCAAAGTCAGTGTTGACAGAAAAGCAGCAATGCATGTATTGTGGACAAAGCACAGCAAAGTACTTCCTGTGTATGCAGATTTCAGCAAGCATGGAGAAGTACATTGCTCCAAAACACAGACATGAGATCTTTGTACTTAGCTGGATTAAATGCAGTAGGCCAAAGATCCAGTTGCGTCAGATTATGTTGTTGTTTGGCCAGGGGGATTATGCACAATTGCTTGTTGTTGGCAGCAACAATTTTGACTCCTAGAAGCCTTTTGCATTTCATTCAGCCAAATAAAGAATCTGCATATCTCTCTTTTGGAGTTTTTTATGTAATCTGTTTGCTGAATCCTGCATACATGGGGATTTTCTGTACCTCAGGCACAATTTATGCATGGCTGATTGTTTTCTGTTAGCAGTGATTTGGATGCAGTCAGCACTTTATTTAGCTAAACACATTGAGGGGAATTTATCAAAACTGAAGCAGCTGTGCATGACAACCAATCAGCTTCTCTTTTTCATTTTCAAATCTGAACTGAACAGACTGAAGAGAGAAGATTATTGGTTGCCATAGGCAACTGCTCCAGATTTTGTCTGCTCCAGTTGTGATAAATCCCCCAGTATCTATATGCCTGTTTTGGGAGCAGTGACATTCCTCATGCTGGCGGAATTGATAATATATGTGAAGTGATTTGCTGGTCCTTATGTGAATTATTTCACCCCCTTTATATCTATGTCTGATTTGTATGGCTGTGAAATATTACTTTAAAGATGGATTTAAAAGATGGATTTTAATACAGTGTTCCAGAGGTGCTGGTCAATACTTGTTTGTGGTTATACGAGTCAGACCTTTTAGCTTTTTAATTTATATTTCTGTCAGCCTTTTGGCCCTCTGTCGTTTCCATCAGATGTCAGTCTGGTCAGAGCACCTATATGTATGATAGGCCTGGACACATGCTCTCTACGTGTGCAGCAAACTATCTCTAAAGGAGGCCTCCACCAGTCTCCAATCAGTCTGCTTGCTGAGGGCCCCTTTTATTGTTTGCTCAGGCTCCCTCCCTATTATTTGCTGCTTAATTACAGTGACAGATAGTCCTTCTGTCACATTAGTATAGTTGACAGGCTTCCTGTGACGCCAACAGTTATGCCCACATTGAAAAAAACTTAAATATTCGTTTTTCTCCATCTGAGCTGCTTCCCAGCACCCTGTAGAGAGTGTTCTGGCTATGGTTATGAATAGGGCGGTCCAGAGAAAGACTTGTACCTAGGAAGTTTGTTGCTACGCAAACAGCATCAGTCCACAGTTTGAAATTGTATACTTCGTAGGAGGCATCTGAAGATGAAGAAAGGTCCATACTTGGACTGGAAGTATGAAAGTCTATGAAAGCTGACTTATATTATACTCTCACTGCTGAAAATGTGTGATATCTCACCAAAAATTACACAAATATCTTAGTCAAGCTGATAAAAATGAAAGTTTGGCAAAATGTGTGGTTAATGAAAAATAGGTATTAATGTGTGAACACGAGTAATTATATTTAGTTGTATGTAGAAAACGTCTTTAATCCTCAACGTTTGTCTTTTCACAATGCAGGCAATATTATGAAATGATGTACAACACTGCTGATGAGCTGCTGAACCTAGTGGTGGACCAAGGAGTGAAATACTCTGAGCTAGAGTACATTAATGCTCTCAGCCTCCTTCATCGCAGTCAGACTGGTGTGGGTGACCAAACAACACAAAACATGAGGCTACAGCGACTTAAGGAGATCATCTGTGAGCAGGCAGCCATTAAGCAAGCCACTAAAGACAAGAAGATAACCACTGTTTGAGATCATGGATATTATGTGCCAGTAACAAAACATATTTTGCTTGCTCTGTTGCCTGCCATGTTTTTCTCATAATAATTTTCATGGGACATATTATGCTATTTAGTTAACTAAGAATTACTAGTATTAAGAGTTAATCACATGTTGTTATAGTGCCTATTGAATGATGTGCTTTGCAGTAATTCCTATAAATATGCATGTTCTGTATTTTAACATTATATTTAGCATTTGATTAAATCATGATTACAAAGACACTTTCATTAATAAAATGTAACAATAAAGTTAATTTGAGTCCCATGCAGTGTTGGTCTTCTCTGTATATATTTGCCTTTTAAAAGTTACAGTATCACCTTTTTATTATACCCACCTTTTAATCATTTCAGTCCCTGGGCCTTTAACCATCTATCTACCTTTTGAGACCTAGACCATTTTTTTTCACTTTGGATATGTCTCAATTGCACATTACAGTAAACTCCCAGTTATGCGGCATGCAGGGGGATTGGTAGATTTCACATAAATGTAGCTTCTGGTTGCTTAAGGGTTACTATCAGGGCCTAATGTTTGTTCCAAACTTTTGCACCGGCTTTTCTCACGGTAACGCTAGGCAGAAAAGAAGACAGGAATTAGGATGAGGGAAAGCCTTGGATTTAAACACAGGACCCCTTGTGCACCAAGCCATCACCTTACATGTTGCGCCACCTTAGAAGATGATGTTTGGCCCCACCAAAAACTGGGTGTGGACAGACATATGGGGTAGGGATGCGGCCAAAGTTTGGATCTTTTCTTATGATAATGCACTAGTCATTTGAGCCACAGGCAGACAGAAGCATGAGCTGTACAGAAAGGTATAAACTGAAAAATATGACAGCAAGCAAAACATTTTCTCTACATTCATAAAGATCAGACGAGGCCCTGGATGCAAACCCACAACCCGGCGTTTATAGAGGCATCACCTTATATGCTGTGCTATTGCATGAATTGGTGCATGTCCAAAGCATCATTCCCAAGGTGTAGTCTCTTCACTTCACTTCCTCTGCAAACACCCATTTTTTCAGAGGTCCTAACACCAAATTCCTCAGTGGCGCATCGTGTAGGGTGACGGCCTCATGAACTCAAGGTTGTGAGTTAGAATCCCAGAAGCGGCCTCAGATTAAAGCCGTACACTCATCTGGCCACTATTACAATGAAGCTTAGTGATTATTCCAGGTGTCCTGTGGAATGCCTGGCTTGACAGATAAGGTTGGAAAGCAGCTGGTGAAGTTGGTGCCAACACCGATGCCCCCATACATCTGGGCACCCACACTGCTCCTCCCCTACATCTGGCTCTCCACACCAATCTGGGCACCCAGACATGCCCCCCCCCCTGACATCTGGGTGCCCACAAAAAGGCTGGCCGCCCACACAGATAT